AAAAACTTGTATCTGTTGAGATGGCAATTCTGGTTAAAGGTTTGCTCAGAAATATAAAATTTGTTCGGTCAAGGACCATGAGATCTTTATTTTCATGTTAAAGTGCCTTTCATTTCGTTTGAAGAGGCGAGTAAAAGGGATTTGTAAGTTGGTTCCATTGGAGGCTATGGAGGCTTGCCTTGCAGATGTGGTTGTAGATTTGTGCGAATACGTCTTCGGCGCACAGCCCTGCGACCCCGATGAATCCTTGATGAGCTTTCGTCCGTCATGTGATGGGAGCCTCTTCCTCTTGCTCGGTGGTACTTCTCGTTCCTCCCTTTCTCCAATCCTATCAAACAGCCATAAGTAGTTTCTTCTTAATTGTTTACACTCAATTCTTCTATTCGTGGTGTTGGCAGTTTTATTTATTTTTATCGTAGGAAGTCAAGCGGAAACTACTTGTGGCTTTTGGACAGGTTTAGAAAGAGCGGATAACGAGAAGTACCACCTAGAAATAGGAGGAGGCTTGACTAGGCTGGAATTTGGCGTTGACTCTCACATCACACTAATTTTAAGAGAACTGCACTCACACCACATGCATGCAATGGGATGCAATCACATGCGTTAATATTGCAAGATCAAAGGCATACGTGTTTTAAGGGAGGATGCAGCTGTTCGGTTTTAATTGCACACATTTCACGCTTCATCTGTAGCCACTTAACATGCCATCGACATTTGCTTAACATAACTTATAAGCAAATATAGGGGCAAAGCATAGGACATCTAACCAAAACATGAGATGCCTAAGTGGATCAAATTGGAATATAAGAAGGTAGTAGGCTTAAAGTTGGCCACCTTTCTTTCCTTCGTGTTTTTGGTGAATTATCGTTGACCATGATTTCCTGCTCTGGCGATGTATGTCACATGACGGATGAAGGCTCAGCAAGGATTCATTGGGGTCGCAGGCACAAATCTACAACCACGGCTCCAAGGCAACCCCCTTACAGCCTCCGGTGGAATCAACTTACGAATCCCTTCCACTCACCTCTTAAAACGAAATGAAAGGTACTCCAACAAGAAAATAGTAAATCTGTCCAAAAAAGCTTTGGACATTAGCACAGGCGATGTTCTTTTTAAATCTTTGAACTTTGCGTTGCAAAACAATAGGGATATCAAGGAAGAACTATTGGTGGAACTAATGATTTTTACTGACCGTTTGTCTGTTTGCGGGTTACCACCTGAATTGATTTTCATGAAGAGGTTTTGCAAAGAAATAATAATGCAAACAGCATCGTTAAGAAATTAAGAGACTAGGGTCAAATAATGTTGAAAGCACACAAGGGAGGAACAGTGATGGCCATTGATAAGGTTAGCTATGTAAAAAATATGATTCAGGCACTAGATCATAAATAAACATATACGAAGTCTAGACTCTGGGCTTTTCTGCAACAAAGGGGGAATTAGAGCAGTGGAAAATGAACACACTTCTTAAACGAGAGGCCAGGCCCCGAATGCACATTTTCTGTCCAAGAAACATAAGGAAGGAATTCTATTCAGAGTTATTGTTGATAATACGAGTAGCGTGATTCATATACAACATAACGATATATCTGTCAGCAAATAAGGCAAATCTCCGAAGCATGGCATTTTTCAATAAGAAACTCTTATGAATTAGAAGTTGTTTGACCTTGTTTTCGCAACTCAATCATATTGGTACGAAGACTTAAGGAAACGCATCTAGTCCGGAGTCCACTGTATGCATCATCGTTTCCAGAGTAGGACCGTAGACGTGGTACATTCCCAGACGTTTCGCCGGCATCGTCAATGAGCATCGCCATCCTAAGCACCATAAAACAACTCGTCAAAGAAACAAGTGAAGCTGATACTTTGACCAAACGTATGCTAAACAATTGTGGTATCTCCCTTTCTGCCCTGGGTTATTCGCGTTTCTGGTAGCATTCTATCATGCCTTCACTATTACACTTTTTTCCGTGTTTATTTAGATAGTGTGGTGTGATCCTTTGAGCGACATGACACTTTTCCACTCCAACTCTCGTTCTCACCCCCGCCCTTCATCCTTGTGCAGGGAATGTCGATGAGAGTCTGTTTTATTATTATACAGTCCTCTTTCCTAGTCTTATCCCAGTCTCCCTCTTGCTCCGTAAAATCCGTCTGCTCTAACCCTTTTTCACCTATTTCACTAGACTGCTGCCACCACATCTGTCCTACTCGAGGCGTTATTCGGCCTCACCTGCGTCTGGGTAACTAATTCGAGGC